GGAGAGGTAGAACAGGCAGAAGCTCCAGGTGATGTGAGTAATTGTGGTCGAGGTGGAGGAGGCTTACCAAAAAGCTGAGCAAAAGCAGCCTGATCATTCCACTCCACCTTTTTAGGTAGGGCATAAAAAAGGTGAAATTAAAAGTCTAAAAACCTAACCTTAAATTAAATTGCAGAAAAAAAGCTAAATTAATTAAAGAAAAGTATGTTGAGAAAAAAAGCAAAGGTATGTTGATGAGAAAAGAATGTGGTAAAGATGAACAACTTTATTCTTTATTCATTTTGAAACATTTGAAAAATCTTCCTTAAACTAACCATTGTTTCTTTACTCTTATTTCATATATTAATTTATCCTATTTATGTGATTGTTCTACCCCTTTTGGGAGCTTTATTTTTCAGTTATCAGTTGTTCTGTTTTTGATCTTTGGTTTATTTTCCATTATATTCAAGCAGTCTTTAGTTACTCTCTGTTGTGCTTGATACTTGTACTCCACCTCTGCAGTCGCTCAGTGCTAGTTCCTTGTCATTGAGTTTGTAGTTCCTTCCTCGTCCCTGGCTTCCCACATGAGTTGCCGATGCTTTCTCTTTTTTTGGTACTTAGTATTATGTATTTTTGGATGTAAGCCTAAGTTTTCATTAAATCTACAAGATTCACTTCTGTCTCCTGGTCTCTGCCACCTTCTATTATAAAATTGTACTGATAGCACTGTAAGATAAAATAATGCATGTATTCCTGGATGAGGACTTAAATTCACAGTCTAAAATTTTATTACATTGTTGGGCGTGGAGGTAGAGCACATGACCCATATACCACCTGGCGCGGGATCAAGTCCTGGCCCTACTGATCTTTGCTTAATGTCTCCCAATGCTCTTGTAACTCACTTAATTTGTGCATGCTTTCAAAAATAAAGGCACTAGAGCCTAAAAAAATATCTTGAAAGAAGATTTTTTTTAACAAATTGTTGTTTAACTGATAATGAATCTGACTCATATAAGTACACTATCTCTGTACTACTGATTTCTCTTTAATGTTTAAACATGTTCCTGGGTCTGCATGAAAGGGTTTGCTGTCAAAGTCCTGAAAAAGTACACAAGCTGGACATTCAGTGTAAATAGTAAAGGTTAAAAAAACAACTCAGCCTGGGGCAGTTTGTGTGGGTTCGTGATGACTGGAAGGGGTGGAGTTTCTGTCATAAATGTTTTTCTAATGAAAATAGGAGATCTGGAGGTGGAGACTAATAGTAACAACAATGAATTCATATTAGTAGCAGCAAAAGTTGACTTTGGTGGAATCAGACATTTCTGCTGCCTTTTCTTGAATCTGTCAGGAGGTATAATGAGGAGAAAAGGAGAACTCTACCTCTTATGTATTTTCCTGGTTGTGGCTGCTGCTCTACCAGACAAGGTAAAGTCTGATGCAAAAATAACTTTATTGTATTTCTGAAATTTCATAAATAGCTTATGCTTCTATTTTCTCCGACTTCCATTCCTTCAGAATGTTTAAAGTTGTGTATTTGTCATTTTCTTGGGTACCCTTTTTTGTACCAAGAATATACTTGGAAATATGCAGTCACTATTCCTGTTTTTGGTACCCCAATTACACTTAATATTATGGGCTTTTTGATAATCACTGATGGGAATATTTATTTCTTATATTATGTGTAAATGGTGGTGACAGTGATTTTTGTTTTTGTTTTTTAAGCATATGCACTGATCGGTCGATGGCACTTTTTTAATTTTCGTTGTTCTTGTGACAATGACAATAAAGATAAATTGAATTGAATAAGATGGAGAAATAGAGCATCACTCATATTGTGTTCCAGTTACCTTTTTATGTAAACTTTGCATACAAATCAGTTGCCACAAATTCTTAAAAACAGTTTTTGGCACCAGTGACCTTCATTTGACTTTCAGCTGACAGAAAAAGGGGATTGAGTCAGAGGGAAAGGACAGGTTGGAGAGATCCTAAAAGCATAACTGCATCGAGGACTGATGCCTCTGTACAGTATGTGAGTTTGAAGCTCTCCTGCACTACTGACCCCAATAGGCACCTCCGTCCTCCAAAAACCAATCCGGGAGGGGGGCCTCGTAAGCTGCACCACCTAGGGCCAGGGACAGGTGGCAGGGCCCGTGAGCCAACCACTTACCAGGACCAACACACCCCCCCTCTCCGCCAACAAACCCAAAAAATCAAAATATAAAATCTAACCTCCTTGGATAACCATCCTGCCTGTACCATGCTCCCCGGATGGAACCCACACCAGGAGAAGAAATAGACTGGAACCAAGATAGCAAGCCAGACATGGAGCCCTCGAAACATCCACATCTCCACAACCCCTCTCCCCATCTGAGCATGTAATCTCACCCCAAAACTACCATTCAAACCGCTCACAACACACATACGACAAAGAAACCCAGGCTGGGTTTGTCCCAACTCCCCCTTCCTCCCCTCCCCCCCACTAGCAGAGTGCAAACCCCTTGAAGGGGAAAGCATCAGTCATTGGATGGTAATTTTCATTTCCCCCTACAAGCTCAAGAGGCCCAGGATCCCCCAGTGCATCAGAGGCCCTGGTAGGGTCAGAGCTAGGCACGCACCTGCCCAAAACCCATGCAGTACCCCCCACAGAACCTGATCCCCCAACGCCTCACCAGGACACCCACCCAAGGGGGACACACCATAGGAACCCCAAATCCCTGGACATACCCCAGGCCCACCCAGCGAAGCAAAGCTAACAGGCCAGTAACCCACATCTGTCAGCACAGTATCCCCCAAGAGCCCCGTGTGCAGCCAGTACAGACCTCCCAAGTACCACCACCCCTGGCCCAAGTGGGGTCACAGACCACGGGCCCAGACCCACCAGGCACCCCACTCAGAGCCCCCCACCCCCTCTAATTCAATTCAATTAAGTTTATTTATATAGCGCCAATTCACAACACAAGTCATCTCAAGGCACTTTACAGTACAACCAGATCAGTCAAATTGATTGAAAGTTTTCTATCTAAGGAAAACCAGATGATTGCATTGACTCATTGACTCAAATGCAATCCCTCACACTAAGCATGCTTGTAGCGACAGTGGAGAGGAAAAACTCCCTTTTAACAGGAAGAAACCTCCAGCAGAATCAAGCTCAGTGTGATTCTGCCGAGGCCAACTGGGGTTCAAGGTGACAGAAGCAGAGACAAAAAAAGCAGCTGTAAAAGGTGTCCCCACCCAGGAAACATACAGCCAGGCAGACAAGCTCTGAGCTAGCTCCCATGTCACAGGATGAAGAGGGCACATCCAGCCAGTCACGGACAGAGAAACAGGACTACACTGGAAAACAGGCCGATCTCCAGCATCTATAATCAAGGGTGTTAATGGAAGCAGCACAGCTGATATTTCTCTCCAAAGTGGTGTCACAGCCAAACAGGAACAGAAGAGGCAAAGCTACCATGAGAAAATGCAGAGAGAGCATAACGTTAGAGATTGAACTAACAGATTCTGCAGAAAAGGAGAATAGAGAGAGAATGAAGCAGAATGAGGAAATGGGGGTCCCTATGTCCTCCAGAAGTCTAAACCTATACCAGCATAACTATAGAGATAGCTCAGGATAACCTGAGCCTCTTTAACTATAAGCTTTATCAAAAAGGAAAGTTTTAAGCCTAGTCTTAAAAGTAGTAGTAGTTCCTGTGGAACCAACTACCAAAACTGGTAGTTGGTTCCACAGGAGAAGAGCCTGATAACTAAAAGATCTGCCTCCCATTCTATTTTTAGAAATTCTAGGAACCACTAGTAAACCTGCAGATTGATAGCAAAGTGCTCTGTTAGGAACATAAGGAACAATCATATCTCTGATATAAGATGGAGCTTGGCCATTTAAGGCTTTATATGTGAGAAGGAGGATTTTAAATTCTATTCTGGTTTTAACAGGAGAACAGGAGATTTGAAGAGAAGCCAGGATAGGAGAGATATGATCTCTCTTTTCAATTTTCATCAGAACTCTGGCTGCAGCATTTTGGATCAGTTGAAGGCTTTTAACAGGAACAGACGAACATCTAATTGATGGAGCCGATCAAAGGAGCCCAGAGAGATTGATCTGATGCAGTTGCAGATGCTGTCTCAAGAGTAATATGATCCAACAAAAGATCTCTATACTGATTGATACTGAGATTTTTTTTCGCTTTTCCAATTCACAAGAATAGTTTTCTTTGCGATACACAGGGCAGTGAAAACCATGCAATTTTTTTTTTTTTGAAGAGCTCTCCTCATAGTTATCAAGCAAACAAACTGATGTGGAAGGTGAGATTTTACAAGCTCCTTACATATCTGAACCCAGAACCTCTGAACAGGTGTACATAGCCATAACGCATGAATGTAATTGTCAGGATAGTGGCCTGTCAATGACTTTCCAAACAGGTGTGGGTGTATGTGTGTGGCGGTCAGAGCACACATTAGCTCAATGTCATGACCCCCTTTTTATCTTTATTTCATGTTAGCCTGCTTTTAATTTTCTTTTATTGTATTATCTAATTCATGTACAGCACTTTGAAATGCCTATGTAATAAAATGTGCTATACAAATATACTTGCCTTACTTTTCCTAAAATAAAGTGAAAAGGTTATCATATCTGCTGATACAAATATATATGTATTGGCAATGTTATTGGGATTTTTTTTTTTAGTTTCAGATTAAAATATAAGATAAAGGGAACATTACAAATTATTTTACGTTATCATAGTAAAAAAGATGATAGAGATTATAAGTAAATCTAAATCATTAACAAGTAAATACCTGAGCCTTACAAGTGGACATTATTTAAAGCACTAAAAGAGATTTTTTTAATAACTGTAGTTATTTTTTTTATTTTTTATTTTTTTACAATTAAGGGTATTATTTTAGTATTTATTTACATTTATTATAAGTATTGGACAAAGAATAATCAAAGCAGGTATATTTGCAACAACATCAATAAATGCTCCCTCTACAAAAATTTTATTTTCTAAGTTTGGATTTTCTTTTTGTCATGAATATCTATCTCAGATCTCATATATAATCTTGATTTCTCTGTTTAAACAGGATGACTGGGACATTTACAGCTTTCACATCAACTCTACCGTGACCAGTCGATTTGCCACCACCGTCATCACAAGTCGTGTGGCCAATCGAAAGGATGAATCAAAGGAAATTGAATTTCATGTCCAGATTCCCAAGAATGCCTTCATCAGTAAATTCAGAATGTATGTAACACACATTAATATAAAATGTTTGGTATTGAAAATAAACTATTTAACATGTTTTTCTATCCTCCTACTAATGACATACTGTAAATTTAAACTTTAAGTTCTTAAATTTCTAATTTAAAATGTTTGACATGATGCTTTAAACATATAATTATAAACCCATATGAAATCAGGTGCTTTTCTTCATTTTATAAATAGGTTTTGTTATTTTTTTTAACTTTATATTTTATATAATGTCCTAGAGACATATTTTAGAATTTGATTAATTCATCCATCTGTTTTTTTTTTTTTTTTTTTTACAATGCTCATTGACCATGCTTTGTTAAACCATCTAGCTAACATATTTGTTTCTTTTGAAAAATAGGTACAGCTTGGTCAGTAACAGAATAATAAACTATTCACTGCATATAACCTGTGCTACATAGACTACATGAGGATAAACATGTCTTATCCTGCCACACTCTACAAAAATACTTTGTCTTTATTTTCTTTTCTGTGTACCTGTTTCTTTCTTATCATTAGTACGACAAATAAAAATGGTTAGAAGCTGTATGTTTCTCACAATCTATATGTAATGTCTTATCCAATATTATTCAAATTATATAAGAAGGAAATTAAAATATAATTTTAGCTCCATGTGAATTCCTCAAATTTTAGCTCCAACCTCCCTAGTCCCTACTATCTCTTCATTTTTCAATCGGTCAACCTTAATAACACTATGCAGAGTAGGAGAGGAGTTTCAGACTGCTGTGCTGAATATGGACAACCCTCAATGTCATAATGGGTGAAGCCCTCTGTTATAAAAACATGAAACCATATAAAGGTGTGTGCATTGGTACGAGTCACACAGAGTACAACTTAAAATAATACAGAAAACATATTGTTCCCACTAGTGGTTAAAAAGGGGAGGAGGTTCCTATGCGAACTAAATGGTCACTGAAACTTGCTGGTCCTAGTTCCTTCCTTACTGCCAACCCTATTTGGAGAGCACTATTTAAACCATTGGCACATTTCCGCTGTGGCTTTAGTGTCCTTACTAATTTGAGGTATTCAGACTGAGCCTTAGACTTCATCGTACTTGAATAATAAATTTATTTTTTAACTTTGCAGGTTTATTGATGGTCAGGTGTATGATGGAATTGTGAAAACTAAGGAGCAGGCTCAGCAGCAGTACACTGATGCTGTGTCCCGTGGCCAAAGTGCTGGGATTGTCAGGTATATAAACTGATGGATTTCATTTCAGTTATTTGTAGAGGAGTGTTCTTTTTAGATCTTACTTTGTCTATTGCTATATGTCCTTAGACTTAGACAACTTTTATTGTAATTTTGTATACATAGAGTGTATACAAACGATATTTCGTTTTGTACAGCTCTCATAACATTTAATTTTTTTTTTATGTCCATGCTTAAAACATTTTACTGTATCACTGTAAATTGGCATATTTCATGCAAACACTACAATTTGCTTTGCAGCTCTGTAGGGAGAACGATGGAGGAATTTAAAACTTCAGTAAATGTGGCAGCCCACAAAAAGGTGACCTTTGAGCTCACCTATGAGGAACTGCTGAAACGCACACATGGCATATATGAGATGCAGGTCCATGCTCGACCTATGAAGCCTGTCAAAGACTTCAAGGTACATAACTATTGAGAAAACTTATTTGTTACTGTAGAAGAAGCTTCAGTTATAAATGTAATGTCTTTTCTTGTTGATAAGCTTGACGTTTACATCTATGAGAAAGCTGGAATCAGTTTCGTTGATGTGAAAGGAGGACTGAGCACCAAAGCCCTGGCTAATGCCATCACCAAAACACAGACAGATGAACAGGTACAACCTATTCTTGTACTATAACATCTTCAGTTTATTATCTTTACCCAAATGAATAACCCTGCAACGCTGAAAATAACAGACGAAAAAAATTAACAAAACCTAAACAGAAAGATGGAAATTGGTCAGAAGGCTGACAACAGCCCAATTGCAACTCTGATGGATGCACAGGAAAATGTGGTTATAAAATGTGGTTGTTATTGGTTATGTTCTACATGGAACATAACATTTAAAGTATAGGAAAAGGCTTTTACATGAATCATTATGTCCTTATTTTTTTCACATCATCTGACATTTTACCACTAATGTTTAGACTAGACAAATCCAATGTATTTGAGCCACTAATAAAAGAAGTAGAAAAATGGATTACATTAACTAAGTTATTTGGTTTGTAGGCTTGGGTGCATTTTTATCCAACTGAAGACCAACAAAAATCCTGTGAATATTGTGGTGAGGATGGTATGAATGGAGATCTGGTCATTGTTTATGATGTTAAACGAGACACAGGACTTGGAGATATCAAGGTAAAATAATCCAAATTTAGAGCTTTCAATAGTATTGTGCTATGAGATAATAATTTTTTCACAATCATACAAATCCTTGTTAATGATCTTTTTTAACAAGTGCTGTTTAATTCTACTTTATTCTAGTTGACTTCGGATGGTTACTTTGTCCATCACTTTGCTCCAACTAATCTTACCAGAATACCAAAGAACGTTGTATTTGTTATTGATCAAAGTGGCTCAATGAACGGCAAGAAGATGGAACAGGTAGAGTAATTCTAAGTAACGTTCTTTGTATTCATGCTTCAGGTGATCAATTCAAGAAAAAATAAAACATAAACTCTTATATGTTATTGCTTAATTTCTATCAATTTCTTCCTGTGCAGACCCGAACAGCTTTACTGCATATTTTGAATGACCTGGCAGAAAATGACTTCTTTGGTCTTATCACTTTTGACAGTGAAATATTTCACTGGAAACGAGAACTTGTTCAAGCCACAAGTGAAAATCTGCACTTAGCCAAAGAATTTGCACGTAATATTGTAGATAGAGGAGGTAAGAGGACTCTCTGAAATGTAATCTTAACATCTATCAGAAGGATTGTAGTGTAACAGCTATTCTTTTTTTAGCTACCGACATTAACGGAGCAATTTTGGAAGGAGCTCGCATGCTCAATGCACACCCCAGAGAAGGTTCAGCCTCCATTCTTATTCTACTCACAGATGGAGACCCAACCTCAGGTTAAAGAACACACAAACGCACAGAGCCGTAAAATAGATCATTCCAGAAAAGGAAATGAATGGTGCTATATTTGATTTTTGATATACTTACTATGTTTGATAGTAAGTTGTGTAATTACATAATAACATACTCGCCCTTGATCTTAGGTATCCTGTGATTTAATTAATTTCCCTTTGTGATTAATAAAGTATGTTTGAATTGCACTTGCATTGAATTTTGAAACTCTTAGAAAGTTACAGTACAGAGTTAGCAAATTCAGTGGTGTTTTCTTGTTTTCATAAACTTTAATTAAGTGCGTCCTTAATTCTTAGTTCTGTCATGACTAATCAAAGTCAACACATTAACTGATGTGGTGTTGATCTTTTTGAATGTGTTCAATGTGTGTGCTTCCACCCATCCACATTTATTAATTTATTCCCCTACATCTGAGCAGTTATTTTGTGCTCTGTTGCAGTATTAACTGTTATTTTACAATTTGTCATAGTGAATTACTAGAGTATATGGCCCATGCTAATCACTCCAGCATAAAATGCTTTGGGAAAAAAAAAGTGAAAAATGCCATATTCTTTTTAAAAATGCTGTTCTTGAACTATGTATTTTACATTACTCCTCTTGTTTGGTTGTGATCTAATAACAAAAATACCCATGTACTGTGTTGTTTCAGGTGTGACAAATCCTCAACGTATACAATCCAATGTAAAGCAAGCAATTGCAGGGAAGTTTCCTCTCTATTGTCTTGGTTTTGGGTTTGATGTCAACTTTGAATTCTTGGAGAAAATGTCACTCCAGAACAGCGGTCTGGCAAGAAGGATTTACCAAGACTCTGATGCTGATTTACAGCTGAAGGTATTTTCCTCAAAGTTTGCATACTTGGCTTACAGTGTCTTGCAAAGCAATTTGAAGCCTGTTGATATTTTGTGAAGAAACAACCATAACATCAAGATATTGGGATTTTATTTGACAATGGAGCACAAAGTGATCCATAAAGAGTGATGATAAATTGCTAAAGCTAAAAGTACTCAAATCAATTCAGTTTATTTATACAGCATCATTTCATAATACGTCACTCTTAAGGAAATTAAACCAGATCGTAACAGTCAGATTGGTTCAAGGCTTTCGATCTTAGGAAAACCAGCTGATTGCATGGGCCATGCATGTAGCGACAGTAGAGAAGAAAACTTCCTTTAACAGGAAGAAACCTCAAGTAGAACCAGACTCAGTGTGAACGCCATCTGCCGAGGCCGAATGGGGTTCATGAAGACAGAGGCAGACATACAGAAAGAAGAAGAGATAGAAAGGGCAACTGTCAACCAGCTCCAGAACCAGAATCAGAATCAAGTTATTTGCCAAGTAGGTTTGCACTTACAAGGAATTTGACTTGGTGTTGTTGGTGCAGACAAAAAACAAAATAAGATAGAATATAGAAGCTATATACAAACAGTAGACTGTGCGTTAATGTAACACAGAAATCCTGAATGGGGGAGAGAAACATTGTCCAGTGTCACGGGCGGCTCTTGGCCTTGTTGATAAGGCCGGTTGCAGATGGGAAAAAACTGTTTTTGTGACGGGAGGTTCTGGTCCTGATGGACCGCAGCCTCCTGTCAGAGGGAAGTGTCTGAAATAGTCTGTGACTGGGGTGCGAAGGATCGGGCTCAATCTTCCCTGCACGTCTCAGAGTCCTGGAGGCGTGCAGCTCCTGGAGAGATGGGAGGTCGCAGCCAATCACCTTCTCTGCAGACCGGATGACACGCTGCAGTCTGCTCTTGTCCTTAGCGGTGGCACCAGCGTACGAGATGGTGATGGAGGAAGTGAGGATGGACTTAATGATGGAGGAGTTTGAACGAAT